AGATAAATTAGAAAAAAAAACAAAGAGAATTCAAAGACATTTCATATTTCGAGGAATTACCCTAGCACAAAGACAGGATCAAATCAGTGCCATTTAATTATCAAGTTGCCTTGAAAGCAGTGGCAATTCTAGAACTCTGAAGGTACTGGGGGCTCTTGAGGACCGAGATTATTCTGCGGAAGAGAGGGTGGTAAATTCAAGCAGCGTCTTTATTTTTATACACCACCACTATCGTATACACAACTTAGGAATGTTTTTTTTTATAAGTATGTTACTTCGCTAAATTAAACGGAATAACATTTCATTCATATTAGTGGAGTTCTAAATCTATTCTTGCCCTCTTTTCCACTCTCAAGCTGGTGGGCCACAAGAGAGGTTAACTTCAAAACAAAATCAAAAGGTTAATACTAATGTCAATACTAGCAGAACTGTGTAATTTGCCTGCTCTGATTTTTTTCCTCTGCAAAATTTAGAAAAGTTGGGGGGGGGGACCGAGGATCCAGCCTAAAATCCGGGGGGGTGTGCCCCCCCCGCTTCCGTAGAATCACCACTGCTTGCAAGTGCTTGAAAAAACCTATGCATTCTTTAGAAGGAAAGAAATTGGCTGCTGCTTACAACGATATATTTCACCAACAAGAGACCAGAGGGATTATAGAAAGAAGTGAAGTCTCCCCACATGACAATTCAAAATATAACTGGATCCCTCTCAGACCTGATGAACAAATAGCTATAAACTCCTGACCTCTGACATATCGGAGTACGTTTGATACTAAACAATTACCATTAACAAATAATGCCTTTTTACATTGTCATGTTAATGAAGAAATTTCTGTGAAAACAGATTCTGGAGGGTCTCCTGAAATGGAAACTACTTCCATTGATTTTATTAGATGCTCTCAATGAAAGGGAGAAATTACTAACTTCAAAGAATTATGAAATGAGGTATATCCCCTGAGTCAAAGGGAAAGCTGCAAGGATCTACATGATATGGATTTTAAGTATAAATAAAAGTAGACGATATAGTAATAATTAAATATCCTGTACAAGCCAGACCATTCTGGAAACTTGGCATGGGGATGAACTTTTCTGTTGAAAAGATGATGTATATTCCATACGCATAGCTAGTGAAGATGTATCATATGAAAATGATAACATACAACATCTGTTTGTAATGAAACATTCCTTGATACATTATAATCCTAGGTGAGACTTTAAACTGCATCTATCCATTCTTCCATCCAGCCATTTTGATTCATACAATCCAGTCCTGTGTAAGACTTTAAACGCGACCATTTTTTAATGAACCTACTTACGCACGAACATATACATACAAACACAAAATCACATGTACAATGCCAAACGATCATTGGCTAATAAATCACTGATACATTTTCTACAGGCAATTTACAAATCGCAGTAATGCGACAATTTTAGAATCGCTTTATTTTTTTTTAAGTAGTCAAATTTGTGTACTTTTGGGGAGAAGTGGCTCACAGAAGCTTCCTTAAATTCTCCCCAAAGCTCGCTGATTGATTGATGCCAACCAATCAGATCTTTTGCACGTGAAGAATAATTTTTCCCGCGCAATGAATCGGAGCCTATAGTCGCTTATTTAAGCCAAGATTTTTCTCATCTCAATTTAGTGAGACCTCAACTGCTAAACGAATCTACGACAGTTGGAACTCCAGTTCTAACCACGCGCCAACCTTCTCACTCACACGCACATGCTGATGATAATTTGTACACCTTCACTAAAAACTTCTTTTGACACAACAATACTTTTCAACAGTAATATCACAAGAACAATCATATCATGAAACACTCATGAACATTTATTCCGTGAACTTTAAATCAAATAATTATTTCTCACTGAACTCTTAAATTGTAGTCAAAGAGAGGCAACTCTTGATTAATTCAACCTTTCTTACTTAAATGCATGTTTTCTTTCACATCGTTGTTTGATATTGTACATCTTATTAATATACATATATTTTATGTGCAACAATGTCTTGTGGTTATTCTTCTTGAGTGAGTCTTGTTTTCTTATCAAAGTTAATGTGGTGAAGTCAGCCACACTTCAGTCCTTTCCTGGGTATGTCTGTAAACTGCATCAATTTCTTAGTCATTTGCTTGCCCACTTATTAGCCATCGCAATCCTGGCCAACTTGGCCCTAAGTACGACTGAATTACAGCCACATCCTGACCAATTTTATCTGGATCAATTTTGTCTGCGATCAAGACATTAAAATTGTATCCATGGTAGTGATAATGATAATTACGGGTGAATAACAATTTAACACAGGTGCTAACATGCACGTAGAATATGTTCTGAATTAGTACAAGATTTAAAACAATTTACTTCAGAACACAAGTGTTAAATGCATGATACTACATATTCACAGGTGCAAGGGACCACATCAAATAATACAAGACCTACTGTTCATAGAGAGAAAACCCAACCGGTATTGTCAGCGACAGACAGTTTTTCTTGTTCCTCAGTAGTTTCAAGCCAAGGATTCTCTCTGGAATACATCTAGAAAGTTCTGACCAACCATGTCCTGGGAAAGACTTTAAACTGCATCTATTCAGACACCAATTTTGTCCTTCGTATGACTTTAAACTAAATTCGGTGACGAGGCCCAGTCTGCGGGACTTGGAGAGTGTGGAGTCACCTCTTGATTGTCATTACTCACAAGTCCATTCTGAACGGGAGTGGTAGTACCTGATAGGGTTGTCCTTGATAAGACATTAAACTATTTATGTCCAATCCGTGGGGGAATTCAGAACTTTGTAACGGCGCTGTATTCATCATCACAGCTGAAGTTTACTAGTACATTAAAGAAATGATCAAGCAAGATATATGAACAACATCAACAGGACATAACCAAAAATAATAATTCCGGTTGAAGAAATCACTTTTCGAAAGAAGAGCTAACCAAAGTGCACTTCAAACTACCCATGTCAAAAGACGTACCAACCAAAGTACACTTTAAACTATCCATTTTAAAATAAGATCCAACCAAAGTGCACTTCAAACTACCCATGTCAAAAGACGTACCAACCAAAGTGCACTTCAAACTATCCATGTTAAAAGACGTACCAACCAAAGTACACTTTAAACTATCCATGTCAAAATAAGATCCAACCAAAGTACACTTCAAACTACCCATGTCAAAAGACGTACCAACCAAAGTGCACTTCAAACTATCCATGTTAAAAGACGTACCAACCAAAGTACACTTTAAACTATCCATGTCAAAAGACGTACCAACCAAAGTGCACTTCAAACTATCCATGTTAAAAGACGTACCAACCAAAGTACACTTTAAACTATCCATGTCAAAATAAGATCCAACCAAAGTGCACTTCAAACTACCTTTGAACATTTGATCCGCCTCAAGATGACCGGCTACTGTGAGAAGATTAGATGGTTCAACTGAAGTAACCACAAAATATCATTTTTAATCTTGTTTTTCCGTGTGTTGGGAGAGTATAAAAAATATGGGCCATCTCACTTTGGTAGGTGGCTCCTGCTGATAATGAGAAGAGTCTATTAAACTGATGATAATGGGCATGACCCAAAATTAGGCCCGAATTAGGATTTCCAGCCTCAACGACAGACACCGAATAGAACTGTCGAAGAATATGGAGCGATGAGATGTCTCCAACCCAATCAACTGGCATGCTGGGTACAAGCTAATCTGAAAAATGCGTAAAACAATGCATATAGTACAAGCAAAATATGACCACCATTCAAATAAGTGTCACATGTATTTCAAACAGATGTGTATTTGTAGTTCGTCCCCGATGCTTTCACTTTTAACCGCTAAATGAATACGTTTTTAGAAATCATATATTCTCTTTTTCGTTATGTATTGTGTTTCTTGTATAAAGTATGTTTTACAATGTTCAGTTGTCTTACTTTGTTTATCAAGCCATGACATTTTTTTTTTGGTGGGGGGTCGTTAAATTTTCCTACAATAGGTAGATAATGTAAAAACTGAGATAGATAGATTCGAACATAGCTAGCTAGCTATCTAGCTAGCTATCTAGCTATCTAGCTATCTAGCTAGATAGATAGAGAAAGAGAGATTAATAGACAGATTCAGATAGAGAGATGAGTAATAGATAGATTCAGGTAGAGAGAGAGAGCTGCTGAGTAATAGATAGATTCAGATATATAGAGAGAGATGAGTAATAGATAGATAGATAGATAGATAGATAGATAGATAGATAGGCAGAGAGACAGATTGATAGATTGATAACAGGTTTAGATAGATATATAGATAGATGAACAGACCGAGATAGATAGATAGATAGATAGATAGATAGATAGATAGATAGATAGATAGATGAACAGACCGAGATAGATAGATAATATGAACAGAACGAGATAGATAGATACACATTGAAATAGATAGATAGATAGATAGATAGATAGATAGATAGATAGATGAACAGATTAAAAAATACGAAAATAGATGGTGTAAAGACAGAGAGTGTAAAGACATAATAGATAGATAAATAGTGTAAAGACATAGAAAGAAAGAAAGAAAGAAAGAAAGAAAGAAAGAAAAAGAAAGAGAGTTGAATAGACTGCTCTGAAACGACGTGTGTTTAATGCCTAAATCGAAAGGAAATTTAACTGATGAGTGACATTGATGCCAACTCTATCGTCTTGTCCTTTGTACAAAGCTGTCTCGATTCTGATGACGAAAACTGTCAGCACAAGAACGAAGAAATGGATACAGAAATACGACAATAACGTCAACATCATTAGTGACGGTCTGGCTATCAGTCTGATAGGATTGAAATGACAAAAGAATTCATTTCATCGCGCAATTTCCTCATCCCTTCTCCCCCACCACTCCTTCCTTCCTTTCTTCTTCTTCTTCTTCTTCTTCTTCTTCTTCTTCTTCTTCTTCCTTTAAAACAGAAAATAACACACACACACGCGCGCGCACACACATGTACACACCATGGTCTACAACGTTGGCTTA